GCAAAAAAAAAACTTGATAGGGGATTTAACCCTTCCCTACTCTATCAAAAACTAAAAAAAATGATTTGGCTTTACATATACTTTAAATCAGTAATCTGTTGCTGGGTCACTATGTAACATGTAAAGATAACCCCTATCTTAATAAAAGCACAATACTGCAGGCAAAGACCCCATTCAAACCTGAGTAAAATCCAAATTAAATTGTGCCTGTTCACACCTGAGCATAGTGTCTTTCATGCCATCAGGGAGGCGTGTGATTGGCCCCAATTTTATTCTGCAGCAAAAACAATGACCCCAAACTTACAGTACAGCCAATGTCATTAAGAACTATCTCCAGTATTTAGTAAAGAAGAACAAGTTCTCCCACTTAAAAAGAGTCCTGGAAGCGATGGTTTGGCCCCACAGGCCCTGATCTCAACATCACGAGTTTGTCTGAGGGTTTCATGAAGAGACAGAAATATGAGGCAGCCTACATCCACAGAAGATCTGTGATTAGTTCTTATTTTGAACAACCTACATGCTGAGTTCCTTCGCAAACTGGGGTTCATTTACCAAAACTGGAGAGTGCAAACTCTGGTGCAGCTGTGCATGGTAGCCAATCAGCTTCTAACTTCAAACTTGTTCAATTAAGCTTTGACAAAAAAAAAGTTGGAAGCTGATTGGTTTCTGTGTAGTTGGCTGGGAATTCCAGGAGGAGATCTGCCTCTAGGGTTCAGTGATGGTTTTTGCAGGGATCTGTCCCTGGCAACATGACTTTCCTTCTCCCTACAAGTTTTCCATGATGAGTTGAGAGCTGCAATACTGGCTAGGCCACTCCAGCACTGGAAATGCTTCTTATTAAGACAAATCGTTGCTGGGCTGTATGTTTTCTATCAGCTGTCATTTTGGAAGACTCAGCCACGTTTCATAAATCAACCCCTTGCTGATGGAAGTGTTATGCACTCAAAACTAAAGAATCGATGCTGGTTTTCTGTCCAAAGGGCAGTCACACCAAATATTGATTTGCTTTAAATTTTTCTTATGTTCACTCACTTTTCATCTTGTAAATTGATACCAATAAACAATTAAAATATGTATTTCCAAAAGCTTCCATATATACAGTGGGGCAAAAACGTATTTAGTCAGCCACCAATTGTGCAAGTTCTCCCACTTAAAAAGATGAGAGAGGCCTGTAATTGGCATCATAGGTAGACCTCAAATACGAGAGACAAAATGAGAAAAAAAATCCAGACAATCCATTGGCTGATTTGGAAAGCTCTTATTTGCAAAATTAGGGGGAAAATACTGGCTTAATTTGGTCAATAACTGGCAGTTCTCTCAATACTGAGTCCCTATATCCTTTGTTGGCAATGACAGAGGTCAAACGTTTCCTGTAAGTCTTCACTAGGTCCCCCCAAGGTTGGCACACACTGATTTTTGCTGGTATGTTCTTGGCCCATTTTCCCCATGCAGATCTCCTCTAGAGCAGTGATGTTTTGAGGGGCTGTTGCTGGGCAACTCCCTCCAAATGTTTTCTTTGGGGTTGAGATCTGGTTGACTGGCTAGGCCACTCCAGACCTTGAAATGCTTCTTACGAAGCCACTCCTTTGTTGCCCGGGCGGTATGTTTGGGATCACTGTCATGTTGGGAGACCCAGCCACAGTTTCATCTTCAATGCCCTTGCTGATGGAAGGAGGTTTGCACTCAAAATCTCACGATACATGGCTAACCATTCATTCTGTCCTGTACATGGATCAGTCGTCCTGGTCCCTTTGTGGAGAAACAGCCCCAAAGCATGATGTTGCCACCCCCATGCTTCACAGTAGGTATGGTGTTCTTTGGATGCAAATCAGCATTCTCTCTCCTCCAAACACGACGAGTTGTGTTTCTATCCATTTAACAGCTTCTATTTTGGTTTCATTTGTGTCCATATGTTTCATTCTCCCAATCATTTCTCCCAATCCTCTTCTGGATCATCCAAATGCTCTCTAGCAAACTTCAGACGGGCCCGGACATGTACTGGCTTAAGCAGGGGGACACGTCTGGCACTGCAGGATCTGAGTCCCTGGTGGCGTAGTGTGTTACTGATGGTAGCCTTTGTTACGTTGGTCCCAGCTCTCTGCAGGGTCATTCACTAGGTCCCCCGCTGTGTGGTTCTGGGATTTTTGCTCACTGTTCTTGTGATCATTTTGACCCCACGGGGTGCCGTTACGTGGAGCCCCAGATCGAGGGAGATTATCAGTGGTCTTGTATGTCTTACATTTTATAACTATTGCCCCACAGTTGATTTGTTCACACCAAGCTGCTTGCCTATTGCAGATTCAGTCTTCCCAGCCTGGTGCAGGTCTACGGTTTGTTTCTGGTGTCCTTCGACAGCTGTTTGGTCTTCACCATAGTGGAGTTTGGAGTGTGACTGTTTGAGGTTGTGGACAGGTGTCTTTTATACAGGTAATGAGTGCAGGACAGAGGAGTCTCTTAAAGAAGAAGGTACAGGTCTGTGAGAGCCAGAAATCTTGCTTGTTTGTAGGTGATCAAATACCTATTTTCCACCATAATTTGCAAATAAATTCTTTCCAAATCAGCCAATGTGATTGTCTGGATTTTTTTTCTCATTTTGTCTCTCAGTTGAGGTCTACCTATGATGCCAATTACAGGCCTCTCTCATCTTTTTAAGTGGGAGAACTTGCACAATTGGTGGCTGACTAAATACTTTTTTGCCCCACTGTATATATATATATATATATATATATATATATAGTCCTAGGGTCAAGTCAGAAACGCTTTCTAAATGCATGTTTTGAAATATTTCAATTTTAGTTGTTACTTTTTGGAGTAGTCAGTACCAGTACAATTATTTAACCATACAAATCATTAAAACTGTTCAAACTGAGGTTTATAAACTTTTTTTCAAGGCACATTTATAAGGCTACCAGCACATTCAGGAACATTTTGCCTGCTTTCAGTAGCTTTCAGTAGCTTTCAGTAGCATTTGCTGCACATATGTCAACAGTGAACAAATTACTGTCCCCAAAAGTTCAACCTGTCAAATGTCAATGAATTTTTTAAGTACAGTAACTTCCAGCACTCTCCACTGTGCTGAACCTGTGTTTTACTTGGATTGTTAAGTTGTCCCCTGACTACAGCAATGAATAGATGTGCTGTGGGACTAACTGAAAAGTTATAGTTTGCTACATTTAAAACTTTGAATTGTGTGCTGGATGCATGTGCTTTTGTTTTTCATACACAAATGCTCTTGTGGCAGCCTACTTACCTCACATGAGATACGGGCTGGTTGAATATATCCCCCAACCTGATAACACCATTCCCGGACAGCAGGAGATACCAAATAGTCCACTACTCATCAGTACCAACTACTAGTGCTTTGGAAGGGACATTTTTTTGCACCCTTTTCAAGGTATCCCAAATGCCACCAGGCATTTTTTTGCAAAAGGGGACAATGAGAAAGCAGTCCCCACCCACAGGGACACAAGCCCACATGCCTGGAGTGTTGGATTGTAAGTGTTATCAGCGATATCGCTCAAATGTACAACTATGTCCTGAATCACATACACATCTATTTTTTATAGCATCATTCTTATTCTTTTGGCATGGGTCTGAATCTGGGCATTGTGCTCTTGTTAGCTCATTAGGTGTATTCACCTTACTTCTACCAGGTTATCATGCTTAAATAAAGTGAAACAATAGCATTTTATCTAGTATAATACCATAGGGGCAATCAAGGACATGCAAAAAGTATATATTTTGTGCATGCACTGTCTATCTGTTTATCTATGACTTGTCTATCTATCTTGATGAAACCGTGCTGTCTGGACATTGTGATGGCTTAGTGGCCTTACTTACTTAGTGGCCTTACTCTTGCCTTCCCAAGTTGTTGCTTGACTTCCCATCAGGGCACTCCTTGTAGCTTTTATATTCGTTCTATGCTAACATGGGTTCTTACTGCCTGTTCTAGCTTCTCTTCACTTTTTTTTTGGCACTAACATTCACATTTTCATGACCAGCTTTCGGGGTGTACCCCCTTCTTCAAGGTCCAAGTTGTATGAAAGAAATACTTGAAGAAGGGGGTACACCTCGAAAGCTGGTCCTGAAAATTTGGATTAGTGATGGGCCGAACACCTCCTGTTCAGTTTGTGGTTGAACATAGCAAACGTTCGACCGCAAACTTCGAACAGAGGGAACAATTCACAAAGCGGTACCTTACCGCATCTGAGTATGCGGTACGATACCGCACAGCTACTAAAAACATTCTTTATTGTTTCAGCTGTCCGCGGGGTTCCCCACTGACAGCTGAATGTAAAAACAATTGCTGGCATTGCCTGGCAATAAAAAAAATGTACAAAAAATAACGCATGGGGTTCCCCCCATTCATTCCAAGCCCTTCTGGTCTGGTATGGATTTTGAGGGAAATCCCCACGCTCATTTTTTTAAAAAATGGGGTTGGATTTCCCCCTCCAAATCTATACCAGACCCTTATTTGAGCATGCAACCAAGCAGGTCAGGAAAGGGGGGGGACGAGCGAGCATCCTGGCCTGTGGTCATGTGCAATGCTTTGGCTAATTACATTGCGCTGTCAGGGCGCAGTACATTATGGGGCTCGGTGGGCGCCCTGACAGCCCACCGAACACCCTTACCATTTGTGTGTTCACTGAACACTCAAATGGCCCATGTTCGGGTCGAACATACAGCCCATCACTAATCTGGATGATAGTGCAAAAAAAAAAAGTATCATGGACAGTACTCTATTGTTTTTGTAATAATTTATTTATTATTTTATTTATTACAGGTACTTATAATAAGTGCTACAATCACAAGGCTTCTCTTCACAATGGTTTTCACCTAAATTTACTCTAGTACTCTAGTGTAGGAACATAAGACTGTAGCAGCGGCGGACTGACAACTCATGGGGCCCCTGGGCAATAGGGGATCATGGGGCCCCTGTGTCCTTGCCCACACCCAAAAATGCCTATGAAAAAGCCAATGAAAGGTACCAGGGGCATCACATGGGGCCCCCTACTGACCCCGAGACCTCGGGCAGTGCCCGAGTGCTCCAATGGTCAGTCCGCCCCTGGACTGCAGACTTCTCAGAGGCAGAGAATAATGTGAAAGGGTCCAGTTATGAAATTTTACAAAATTGTTTTAATTCACCTTTATTTATAGAGCACTGTTTTTTCTCACCTATTGTGCATTCATATCTGCAAAATGTTCAAAATCAGATTTTGTAACATAAAAAAGGCCCATACACTTATTTGCCCCAAATAGACATCACATAGATTCATTTCCACTCTACCCCTGTTATTTAGAAACTCTGAAATCAGTTTCACATCTGAGAAATTTAGAATCATTGACCACCATGGGCTCCAAGTCCACTAGATAAGGTCAAAAAGGATTTGGTGTATCAATTCATATACTGCATGGATCAGAATCCTCCAGAAGAATTTTAGAAAGGTGTAACCAGTGTAAAGGATATGGACAGACAAACCTCTGCACTGAACCCAAAAGTTATTATGCATATATTCTAACTCATAAGAAAGACTGTGTCAATATTCAGACAAAACTAAATACTCTGCTTACTGCCTATTTCTGACTGCTGGAAGTTACAAGATAATGATAAGTAATGATAAATGAACAGTGTATTTTACTTTTAGAACAAATATGTACTTTCCAAAATAATTCTGCAGAAAAAAGAGAATTTTTTTGAAAAATATATTATTGCAGAATTGGCCTAGCTTCCAGTCCACACTAATTTGTATAACTGTTCAATAATGTATATTTAATGTAAAAAAATGTTTAAGTCCCTGTGGATCTGTCAAGATTTTTGAACAGCTGCACCATGAACATTTAGCAATCTATATTTTCTATTTTGCTCCCAAAATACTATAGGAGTAAGCTTTACTATTGAGTTAAATACATTGCCCGAAGGAAATGACACTGGGATTGTCCATAGTATGTTACTTGTATATTTCTATTTCACTGTTTCTGATATTAAAAAGTGCCGTGTAGTGTGCTGGAAAATTTCTCAGACTTTCAGAGAAACCTTGATAGAAAATGCTGTAATGAATTGCTGATTGCAAGGCCTTGATGTTGGTCAACAGCTGCCTATAACGCTTCCTATTTTCATGGGCTGTAATCACTGTGATTGGAATGTTTGACTCCTCACTATACTGTGTCAGATTTCAAATTCTTGAGAACATTTAATTGGGAACCAAGACTTGATGCAGCTAGCAATCCCAAGGGAATCTGTCTCGGCTGATACCAGTTAGAATGTCTTGCCTGAAGTGGTTTTCTTCTTTTTTGTGTTAATTACCTGATATTGATGGTGCTTTGTCATTGTCATTTGTTCCTGCAGCCCAGACCTAACGATATTTGACAATTCTTCACATATGTCTTGGCTGGGCCTCCTCTTACAAAATAAAGGAAGGTCATTTTTAGAAAGTGATGTGAGATGGAGGTAATGTAGAAACTCCACAACCTAACCATATACAGTACAAGCAATCCTATCCAAGCTACATAAAAAAGTCATGTTTACTAAGAAAAGTGAAAGATAAAGTTGTTTTATTTTCTTTCCACAGGAGAACCAGTCATTCTGTATAATTTAATTCCCCACTAAGACTGCCCATATAGATACTTACCAACTGTCCTGGATTTGCATGGACAATCCAGCTTTTTATTTAGCTGTCCCTCAAATGCTGTGTCCAGGGCTGTGTCTCAGGATCATGGTGTGAAGTTTGCTGAGTCTGACCGTCACTACCTCTGTCCACAGCTTATTCAAAAGCAAATCCTAAGGCCTCATGTACACTGGATATTTTTCTGCTCCTAGGGGCATCTGGTGGGTTTTTTTATGCCTCTAAATGGCCCTGCACATTAACCTATGTGTTCATGCACACATGGGCTTTCAGTCCATAATAAAATTAGGCCGGTACGTGGTACGATCCATAAAACTGAGAATCTTTATTGGCTACATGTAAAATCACATTAATAGTATGCTAACATGTTTCAGCTATACCAGCCTTCCTCACTGTGAGGAAGGCTGTTATAGCTGAAACATACTAAGGTGGCTGCTTAGCATGGGTATTGTTTACTCACACAAGGGCTTTTAGAGGAGTTTAGCGGCAGATGCGTTTAGGAGCAGGAAAAAAAAATACTGCCAGTGAGTCCAGGAGCAGCAGAGTTTTGGCAGGAAAAATGCTTGAATATTATTATTAATATACAGGATTTATACAGCGCCAACAGTTTGCTCAGCACTTTACAATAGAACGTGAGACAATACAGCAACAATACAGTTCAATACAAGAGGGAAAGGAGGGCTTGCACCTAAACGTGTTAAACACTTTTACAAGCATCAGGTGGTTTTGTTTTGCCAATGCTGCTGCCAGGAGGAAAGTTTTCTAGGATAATTTGCTAAACTTCCTATGTGCATGAGGCTTAAGACTGCTCATTCATGTGCAAATTCCAGTGTTATTAATTCATATGCAAATCCATGGCTTAGTCCCATGCTAATCTTTCCCCAATACAAGCCAATGTAGCATATTGCTTAGTCTGGTGCTTAGTTGCTGTGCTTGTGTGTTGCAGGCACAGGACAGTGCCTCTTTAGGCTCCATTCATATGTCCAATCTCGTGAACAGAAGTTTTCTCAAAACACACATAGCATTACGCGTGAAAAATGAGCCAAAGACGTTACTGCAACTTTTCAGGAATTGAGCATCACCTGTTTCTTCCCTGTGTGTTTTGGCGCACTTTTGCTGTATACGAAAATGAAAGCCTGCTGGCCATGTTTAGGGTAACATTAAAAATGAATGGCACCACAAGTGCAATGTGTGCTTTTCACACATTCTGGAAATGCACACATAAGCACACTCTCCCAGGATGTGCAACCCTAGAGTTTCGAAGCCAAGTCCTAGTCTGATGCTGCAGTAGTGCTCAGAAGAGGAAGCAGTGAAAAAGCTGGTTAGAGGGTGAAAGCTGAGAAGCTACTCATTCATACCGTGCACCTACACTATCCACATTGTGCCCCAACACAGACACCCGGCCAATGGACATCTTCTTTAAGGAGAGGTAAAGAAGGGCTAGCCTTCTTAAAACGGAGATGGAAGGTCTATTACTCCACTTTCTTACACCAACTTAGGGGCATATTATCTTCCACAGACTAGCAAGAAGGGGACCAATATTACTGATTGTAGCAATCGTGCACACAGAGATGGATGCGAACCTCCATTTTGGCAAAAGCCTCCATCTTGTATCATTTTCTACTCCCAAATCAGCTTTCCTCATCCCCCCTCCCTCTCTGTTGAGTGACATGTGGTCTGTTTGATGGAGAGATCAAAGGCAGCAAACTCATTGGGAGGGCGTCATGGTTATAAACCCCAACTAGCCTGGCCCCCATGTCTGCGAGACTCTGCTTGGAAAAGGGTTCGTAAAGCCATAAACCAAACCCTCACTGAGTTTCAAAGACATTCCAGGTAGTCGTAAAACAGACTTACATTTAAAACTCCATTTTCCCCTATGATTACATATCTTGGACTATGAAAGACGTACATAAAAACTGGGCAAATAGTCAGGTCGGTCTCGTTAATACAAGTCGTCTGATATATTACATCCCCTAGCTGGCATCACAAGAGAGCAGAAAATTATATCTCCTTAACTGTCATAACAGGTATGTCATATTTCATACCTAGACGTTCAGCGTCTGCATATTAATCTACTAGTGGCAAGGCTGCTAAACGCACCGAGAAAAAGTTATTGGCCATAGTATAATTTGTGAAGGCTTTGGTCATAGCCTGAGCTCTCCACCTACACCTCCCTCCCCAAATGAAGCGATTGGTTCTCTGCTTCAATGAGACTCCCTGCTAAGTTGCTAGAAAAAGCTGTTATGCTTGGAGCAGAAAGCTAAGCTGAGTTGAGCTAAGTTGAAGATTCTCCCTTTTAACATTGGAACTAACTTTGGGAGATAAGGCACCCTTTTGGTTTAAGAAACTTGAAAGCTGCTTAAACCAAGGCTTTTGAGCAAGTACTTTATCTACCTAAATCTCTTTCTGTTATCTCTTTGCTGTGTTATTGCTCTCTGTATATTTATATATATATATATATATATATATATATATTGGCTACATCTTTTTTTCTGTAAATATTTTTATTGCACCCTTTTGACCTTTTAGTAATAAATCTTACTTTCTTACAGTGTTGAACTGTTTCTAAAGCTCTTTAAAGCAAACTAAGAACCCCTGTCTCTGAAGAGCGCTACTGTGTGTGTTTTAAACTTCTGTATAGTTCTGCCTGTGGTGACAGTGGTATACCGACAATTATTCAAACATCATAGTGTTATTGCTGATATTGCCAAGTTTCCTCTTTCTCTGTACAAAAAGGAGGTGGTGGCAGTGTGAAGGGTTAATTGCGTAATTAACCTGACCCAGTAACAATCACTCTCAGGCTGCAGGTACACAGGTTGTGGTCCATTAGCTGGAAAATCTTTGTGCAGGGTGCAGCTGGGCGTGACATTGTTACGCACGTGACAGCACGGTTTTAGATTGGCTAGTCCTTCAGTCACGAGTTTGGTGAGAAGAGCTGGGGTCACGCTGATCACTGCATTCTATACGTAGGGGTGGAGAAATTTGGTTACCATATTGATTTACTGGAAGACTGCTTTTCTGAATACTTTTCTGGTAGAGAATAGCTCTAGAAATACTTTGCAACTCAACACTTCTGTCATGACATACTTTTAGATGTTTTTTCCAATTATCTTGATATCTAATGATAGAGTAATGCACCACATCCAATTTACAAAATCAAACCTTTTTATGATAGTAGTCTTGATAACAGTCTCTGTTCCAAATGTTTCCTTTGCTATTATTGTGCTGTATCCTTTCCAGCATCATTTCCATTGTCCAGCACATGTTCCTTAATCCAGCGTCCCTGCCAAATCATTTTATCATTTCCTTGTACAGTTTCCAGGCATGTGGCACAGTCTTACTAGTCTTTTCCATGTAAAAATATTGAGTCCAGATTATGTAGTTAGTGAGCAAAAGAAGGATATAAACAAATCAAAAAGAAAACAAAATGACTGATTAACTTAAAACATAAAAATGGTCAGTTTTATGAATAAAAAGAATTACATCTTGTTATACAACTTTGCCCATCAGCAGCTGTAATGTCATAAATAGGATCCCCCTCCATTACACAACATCTGTAGAAAGGATAATCCAAGTCACAGCTGTCCTTATACCAAGCCC